GAAACGGGCAAACTGCGCAGCACGCACTGCCGTATCTTTGCAGAAACACTGCAATTGTGTTTCTGCTAATGCTCACGTTTAAAAAGAGTTGCTTTTTTCGGGGTAAACTTCGTCACAAACTTTAAGTATACCGTTTTTAATGAAATCCCCTTCCCCCTCCATGTCCATGTTCTTGTTTTTGTTCGCGTGTTTCGTTTCATGATGTTGTCTCAGATTACACTATTTCAATCGCGCCACACTTTCTCCGCACAGAAGACACACAGGTTTTCCAGCTACGTCCATGAACATATACTTCGACACCCACCTTGTTTGAAACCCCCGGTTCTCAGTGTCCACCTTCCGTTTTGCCATTTTTGATGGGTATCTGAAAGCTAATGTCACTGTTATGGGAACGACTGCTTGACTAATAAATATTTAAATAAAGCGGCCGACTGCTTGGCGCGTCACCGTTGCATTGTGGGAAATGTAGTCTTGGTGTGTGTAAAAGATCTGCGGGCTCTCGGCTTGCTGCGGTCCGCGGGCCGGTTCTAATAATAAATCAATATCATCCCAGGGGCCACTGAAAACATTCTCGCGGGCCGGATTTGGCCCGCGGGCCGGCACTTTGACATAATGATTTAAATGGTTTCACAGTCATAACGGCACTCCGAGGGAAATCAACTGTCAATGTGGCCTGTGACAAATATGACTTTGACACCCCTGGCCTAATGCTGGCAGTTGGCAAGCCAGCGCATGAGCGTCACCAACTTAAATTGTCCTCCCATTGCAAGGAAACCAATGCGAACTGATGGAGGCAGGATACTGTGAAGTTTGCTGGCGCCATCTGGAGGTGTTGGGGAAGGTGTCTGAAGCGTACTCGTATCTGACTTTTTGTGCTGGTCACGCAAGTCAAAATATCGGCCTAGCGATGGCTCATACCTGGAAAGTCTGTTTCGCCCAGGCACTTATATCTCAAGGCACCACCATAAGATTGGGGAAGACCGCAAACTCCCCTCACCGCGAAACCCCTGGCATGGGATCTTTTTGCATGGCCGTCGAGCTCATTTTTGGCGGGCCACGTCTCGTCCAGCAGCTCTCGTGGCCTTCCTGCCTTTGTGACCCGGCTGCCTCCCGTCAAAAAACCCCACTTCCTCCATCCCCTCCTCCTGAACCGCCTGCCTGTGTGCAGGACTGCTCCTCTCTCGTCATCAGCGACTCGTGTGCTCTGCGTGTGTGTGCGCGCGCGTGCGTGAGACTGCCAGCGGGGGTGGGGGCGGCCGACTCAAACCCTCCAGTCTCCTAGCAACAGAGCGGTTTGTTGCGGGACAGGGAGCTGACGCGAGGATGGGGGCTGGTCGTACAGTGGCTGGGGAGGAGAGCAAAGTCCTGCGGGATTACAAAGAAAGAGCGAGAGCGCCAAGGAGGAAAGGAGCGTTGCGGCGTGTTCATGATGCCTTGTTGCCATTTAGGGATGCTGACATGTCTCCTTTGCTCTTTAAAACGCCCGGCCGCCGCTGATGAGGCCAAATAGCTGCGGCTCCATTCAACAGCTGTTCTCCTCCGAGATGCTTGCAGCTCTGCCGGCTCGACGTGTACTGTACTTGAACGCGCGTAGATCACACAAACAGGCACACTTGAAAGCAGGATGTGTTCAGGGGTGAATCTTTCACTCCCTGTTGACTCTCTTCAGGAAGCTTTTAGCTCGAGATGGCCTTCACTTGCTGGCGAGTCTGACGTCGTGGCTAACTGCGTTTTCTTACCTCCACACAACAGGTTGCAAATCAGTATTTTTTTTTCCTGGATGGGTGTTTATTACGCTCCAGAAAGAATAAAATTAGATTAGAGCTGCAGTTGGATTCTTTTTAGAATTGATTATTCCCGCAATCTATTTTGCATCACTTTATTGCATATAAAGTTGATTGCAAAATAATTCTTTTTTTTGGGCAGATTACTGTCATACTGTAATCCCTCCACAGGTGGTTGATAGAGGACCGGCGCTTGTCTACTTTCAATCTCTTTGTTGAACAATTGGTAACAAAACACACGCTGTCCTCAACTGATGGCGTCAGTGAACACCAGCGTGGCGAATGTTCAGTCTGTTGACAGCCAGTCAATTCGACGCTATCATTTGGAAACATTCATGTATTGGAATGAAATGGGCATTTTTTGTTTTCCATAAATGGATTATGATTCAGTTCCTGGTTTGATTTGTAACATCTGTCAGAAAATCTTGATCCTTTGTTTCCAAAGTAAAAGCAGACGTTTGCAAATATCTTATTGTGACTCAGTACAATGATAATTGCTCTGCGTTCATGAAGAACAGAAATGGAAGAATTCTTACTGTTGAGAGGGTGAAATGAGAGGGTTGAGACAAGAAAGTGAAGTAATGGCCATAAACAATGATCAAAATAGAGGTGTAACAATGCAGACAATCAACAGCTATTTTGATCAGTGATGTAAACATTCGATCAGTTGTTTGGAGATTTTGTGAAACTTCGAAATCCTCAGAATTTCACTGTCACTTAGAAATAGTGAATAAATGGAAGGCAATTATGATTGTTTTTAATCTGATTTGATTAGTCGTAAAAAAAAAAACTATACATTTATAGAATAAAAATGAATAGCAAGAAGCCTTTTTTTAATGATAAAGTGGTGAAAACAGTGCTGCGAAGGCCTTTATTTCATAGATATGCTTGTGTCCTTGCCAGCGAGTGCTACAAACATCCGTCTTGGAGAATTTCGGAGGAATTCAGCAGAGATGCAGCAGTGCTGTGGGTGCAATGCACACCCCACACTTGTATGAGATTATCTAAATCCAGCGTGAATGGACCTGACACCATTGTCCCAAGCAGCGGTAGCGCTGGTGATGTTGACACTGGGAAAGGGGCGATACGTTGTTGGGGGGTTGGGGTCGGGGGTGGGGGGGCTTACCGTGATGACACCTTGCTTGATTGCAGCTGCAATGATGAGGTGGAGGGTTGTTATTATTTCATTTATTAGCGTTACATTTAGCCCATGCTGACAGGGGAGAGTGGCTCGGAAGAGGCGGGGCGGGCCGGATTAAAACAAACCCGCTCTGTGAGCTGGTTTTAGTTGCCATGGCAACGATCATTACCTCGCACTTGGGAGAGCCAGAGCAAGAAGAGAGAAGGAAAGGGGGAGGGCAGCGGCGAGGCGTAAGAAAACAGTGCACGACCGTCCGTCCGGACGGGACCAAGAAATGTCACAAATCGGGATCAGCGCACAAATCTCAGGGAGGGAGGGACAACATGGTGCTCCCTTCAGGGCCATGGGACAACTTTTTTCTGGTTGGGATGCTCCTATTACAAGCAGAGATCATTCCCAATCTCCCGGAAGACAAAAATCATAATTCTTTAATTTCTCATCCAGGCCTTCTGTTAACTGCTACCCGGGATGCTGAAACGATTCCACGCAATGACAATTAGGAGCAACTCTGCAAACACGAGCAGCATGTGACGCGGTGGATGGAGACGGTTGTCCTGGCGATCCCACTTCCATGGTGCATCACGTGACCCTGTGCCCAGCACACCTGCCCGAGAGAAATCAGTGGCAGTTTCTATGGCGACAGGGTCAGCGGTGCAGGAGGCAGGACAGCTGCCAGAGGTGGTGGACGGTGGGAGGGACTGTTGGTCTTCAACGGGTTATTTTTAAACGGTGTGGAGATGAGATGTTTTGCGACCTCTCCGGCTGAAAGACTTGATACGACTGTCCCCACTTATGTGACCCATTGTGTGCGTTTGTGCCCTCGTCGTATTGGTTAGGGCCTGCTTTGGCTGGTGACCAGTCCAGGCTATGTTCCGCTTCCAACGTCAGCTGGGATCAGAGATGGACTGGTCATCTGCCATACAGGGAAGATGCCTGGAGGGCCGGCGTACTTTGGGGCCGATGCGGTGCCATTCAATGATTATTTCCCTGCATTTTACCCCAAGAGACCAGCTCACAATTTAGCGGGACCATCCCATTGATCCATTGACAATATAGACAGCAAACTGAACCAATCAACATCAGTGCCAGAGCTACGTGATTGCCAGGGGTGGTCAGGACCCACTGAATACAAATTTGATAAGAATCTGTCTTGAGGCAAGAATGTTTGATTCTTGCAGTTGATGTCCATTATAGTATATCCATTATTTTCACACAAGATTGCATTAATTTTCATGTAACCCTGACTGTGGATGCTATGACATACAATGACCTCTCAGTTACAGAGAGGATTGCAAACAAGTGTAGGTGCTTGTGTGTGTTGTGGGCTGGCCTGTCTAAGGCAAAATCCAGGGACTATTTTTTTTTTTTTGTACCAGTCCAGCCCTGGCTGCGCCTAATTAGAATGAGCAGCATTGAAAATGGATGGCTGTTAATCATTTTAATTTGATATCTGATAACTTAATTTTCACTGCTTACCAAGAATCATCACAGCTTCATTAGAAAACGGACATAAATTAAAAAACAAGCCGACGGCTCACTGATGTGTTGCTTTTTTGTGTAAAAGTGGGTAGTGCTAGATATAGCGCGCAGGGCGCAAAATCTCCTTGATGTGAGACCAAGACCTCCCTCTCGCTTGACACAACAAACAAAGAAGCAAAAAAGATCATCTCGATACTGACAAAGTGTGTCCGAGGTGAGTATTTTGAAATGGTGATGTGGCCAACAAGACTTGCTGTGGAAAATACTTGTTGCCGTCTGGGGAAAGTACTTTGATACATCTGGAAAGTCGTGTTTGTTTTGATTTACGGCCGTTTCCTTGTTTCTCACCCGGACCCATTTCAGGGCAAATCCACTTGCGAGACCTTCTTGATTTTTGGTGAGCAGCGAAAATAATGACATCCAAAAAATGGTAACGAGTTCTGAGAACTTCTCCCCAGGGGTTGGGATAACATACACGGGTGTGTATCCAACTGAAGGAATGATGGTACTCAGAAATGTTGAAAAGTTTGTTACTTTGCTGTCAATTACAATTATTACTTGCATGAAACTAATGTAGAGTTGTGTGTTTGTTTCAGTGTTCGGACGGCAATTCAGCCCAGGATAATTCGTCCCTGAAGCGTGTGGCTGTGGTGGAAGACTTCTTTGACATCATCTATGCCATGCATGTGGAGATTGGCGCCGACCCTGGCCGGGCCCCCAAACATGCAGGCCAGAAGAAGACCTACAAAGCGGTGAGTTATCACACTTTGGAGTTTCACCTATAAGCAGGAGCTCAGGTCCTGAAAGACGATGGCGGATGGGTTTTCTGAGCAGTTTGAGTGACATGCTGATGTGGGACAAGCCTTTGTTTGGCCGACTGTCAGCCAGTGCTTAAATTTCCAACAAGAAATTGTGTTGATTCATTCGCAACCGCATCCTCTTGTTCCACTGCTTCCACTGCAGTGGTGCCTTGAGATACGAGTGACTCGACTTGTGAGTTTTTCAAGATACAATCCTTCGTTGAGCTGATTTCTTTTTTCTTTTTTTTTTTTCTTTTTTTTTTTTTTAATGCCTTTGCTTTGACTTTCAAGCCTAATCTTGCGATACAGCCAATGTGTTGTGGCAGTGAACTCACCTCAACTCAGTTCACAACAAGCAACAGCTTAGCAAATATCCATCCATCCCTTTTCTGATCCGCTTTATCCTCACAAGGGTCAAGGGGCGTACTTGCGCCTATCCCAGCCGTCTTCGGGCAGTGGGCGGGGGACACCCTGAACCGGTTGCCAGCCAAGCGCAGGGCACACAGAGACGAAAAACCATCCACGCTCACACTCACACCTAGGGACAATTTGGAGTGTTCAATCAGCCTGCCATGCATGTTTTTGGGAGGAAACCGGAGTACCCGGAGAAAACCCACGCAAGCCCGGGGAGAACATGCAATTGAACCTTATACCACTGGACCACTGTGCCGCCCGCTTGGCAAATAGTGAGCATTTAATCAAAAAGGAGGCAAAGCGCTTACTTCAAGCTGTTTAATTGTATCATGTTTCAAGTTTCATTTAATTTGGGCACATCTAAACGTTTGGGTGCGTATCTGGCACCCCCAAATGCCTGTGCACAAAGGTGCTGGCCACCTGGGCGGGGGGCTGTTGAAGTCCACAATTAGCACGTCAATGCAGGTGGGCGATCAGAGGAGAGAGGGCTAGATTCGGTCACAAAGGGGGAATGAATAATTCGGGAATAGCGGTTGAACAACAAAAGACGATTTGAGAACACCCGTCGCGCCCAGGCGACATTGGCCGTCCGCAAAGTCTGCAACATGTTGATTCAATGTAGACCAGACAGAAAGGCGCCAATGTACCGGTGGTTCAAAGCTTAAACCCAGGTAACCAATCACTACCGAGGGGCCGGACCGGGGGTGCGGTATGCAAATATCGGGGGCAGTGTTTTCCTTGTATGTTACAATAAAAGTCTGAATTGGCAGGAAGGGAGCTTGAATGTAATCACGGAGCAACTAAACCGTCGTTCGCTCTCAGAGATCCGCTCCCGCCAATATTGAAGACAATTTTGCTGTGTGCCGAGTCATTTCTTTAACTTTGTCCGAGAAAATCTCTGATATGTCTCAACCAGCAAAGTTTACTTTCAAACAAAGAGAACGCCACATATATTTAAAACAACTGAACAACTGCCTGTTGAAAGGCCCCGTTAGCTTAATGCACAAGTGTAAAACTCAAGGCCAGGTGTGACCCGTGACATCATTTTATGTGGCATGTCAAGGAGAATCATGTATGTCGATTTCTGCAATTGTTAATTGACTTCCTGCCCATGTGAATCGTCCACCTTCAAAATAAAATACATGTTGTGCCCCGTAAAGAGGGTGTAGTTCTTTCATGATAATTTCTGACAGAATCACAAGGTAGGCGCACCAGAGCAGAGGTTGGCATCTGTAAAGCTGATTCAAAGATCATTTTCTGATTTTAAAAACAAGTGACATATTCAGCGCCAAGTAGATCCATTTCATGTGTTTTGTATAATTGTATTGTATAAATTTGTTGGAAGTTTTCAATTCAACTTAATGTTCACAATGTATGTTTCTTGCAAGATGTTTTCATTTTTAACAGCACTGACATACGAGATATCCCAGCATGACACATTTTTACATGGCTATGAGTCAGCACTGGTTCACAAAAATGTTGTTATTGACTTTAGAAATTAAGAAAATTTTTAAATCCAATATTTTCAGCCCCTCCCCCCTAAAAAAAAGACCACATGTGGTTGGCCCTGATTTCCAATCACATGAAGGGATCGGGACAAGGCAAGTTCTTCCTATGATAAAATGATGAGCGGCTCAACATGTGAACCACCTTTCTTTTTCAAGAACATCATTTATTGATTTATTTTTGCACTGGCAACGCAATGTATAATTTTTAGCATCAATAGTTTCCAAGGGAACAAAACCAACTTTGCCAGATGTGTCACATGACCACTGCCTTGAGAACAAAAAACAATCTGACCTCAAGCCCACAAACGCCATCGTGTGGCTTCTGATGCCCGGACTGAGTGTGGAATAAGACAAAAATAAGCTTCTTTGTGTTTTTGTGTCCGTGTTGGACAGTTTTGCAGGACTTTGGTAAACCTCCCTCCCTTCCCCCTTCCCCCGAGGAACCCCCCTACCCCCCCAAAAATGAAACCAATTTCTACTTGTGCCCCTGCCCTGTAGAGAGGTCCTGTCACGTCTCATAGTGTGTCCCCTTTTGAGGAGGCAGCATCAGTGGGGCAGGGCATAATATGGAACTGTCACTGTGGCCTTCTGGGACGAGCACGCTCCTCTGGGTGGCCTTTCCCTCTCAGCTGCCTCAAGGGGCCGTGATGTGTGTGTGAGTGCGCGCGCGTGTGCGTGTGTGTGTGTGTGTGTGTGTGTGTGTGCGTGTGTGTGGGGGGTGGGGTGGGGCCAAAGGGGATGGGGAGCAGTGGCAGCAGTGGTGGGCCCGGTGGGGGGGGGCACCCCTGCTGTCTCTCCGTGGTCTCGTGAAGGTCGCATTTTCCAGGGAAACGCCAGAGGGGACAAGGAGGGGAGGTTGGCGCTGGAGAGCGGGGGTGTGTGTGGTGGAGGGGTTGGGGGCGGGGGTGAGGCTGAGCATGACACCAACACCAAGGTGGAGATTTATGGTTAAACACCCTATAAAGTCAATTCCGAGATTTGTTTCTGAATACATTATTCATGTTTGAAGATCAGTGATAATGTTTGAAGATCATTGCTGAAAAGTTACAAAGACTGCAAGAGTGTTGAGCCCTCCAGCGCACCAAGGGCATTTTCTTTTGCACGCCCCCGGCGCGCCTGGCTATTTGGTGACTGCAAGTAGACTAAACTTTAGAACAGCCGGAAGCAGGTCGAAGTTGCGGTGCAGGTGGTGTAACACGATTTCATTGCATTTGATTGAGGTGCAGGCAGACAGATTCTGTGCTCCGTAGATGTGTGTGGTAGATGCTATCATAGTCCATTCGTAAATACGACAGCATGCATCAAACGAATCATTGTGGAAATCAATTCAGTGAACTTATTATTGTTATTATCAAGTTCAATATATTTTTATAAGCACCCAAGTCCAGTGGGATGTATTCCAACACTGGCTTTAAGCGTATATAATCTGGCGACACCCACATGTAGTTATGTGTCGACACAAAAAAAGGTGCTCGTCGAAGAAGCATCCTTTTTTCCAGGAGATTGAAGTGGTATTTAATTGACAGTTGACAATTCACTGGGGTGTGGTTCCAGCCGATATAACGGCTTGATTTTTCATTATTTTGAAGCCCCATTTTATATACTGCCGATTTTTAATCATTCCAATTTGGGAGGGTTGTAACAGCACTTTTCTCTGTGGTTTGGCCAATTTATAACACGTTTTTATTTTCACTTTCCAGGGACTCTTTGGTTCCCATTAAGAGCCAACCTACCATTGTGTCACTCACTAGTGCATTCCCATGGAAAGTTATCAATTTTGAAAATTCCTGGAATTTTGCAACTCTAAACAGAGCAAAAATATGGATCAGGGCTGCAACTAGACTGAGGCTTTCTGCCGGCACGAAAGAGAGAGTGAGACGATCACCTGGAGGGATAATCACGCCACATGGCAACAACACTGATGTCGCATTTTGACACACACACACGCAAAAAAAACCCCAACCTGTACTGACACACATTTGATGCCATTTTCATGTCCATCCTCTGCCACAGATAGCGGAGACCTACGCCTTCCTGCCTCGAGAGGCGGTCACTCGCTTCCTAATGAGCTGCGGCGAGTGTCAGAAGAGGATGCACATCAACCCCAGCACCGCAGAGTTCAAAGGTAACACAACCTGTGCATGGCCTGCTCACTCGGGAGACATCATTAACTGATGGGCTATTTTCAAAATCAACCTTTAAGGGCGCATGCGGCTCCCATAATTCCGCCAGCAGAGAGCACTCCAATAGTTTCAACATAATTACTTTTTAAATTTTTTACACCTCAAAACATATACTTAGTTCTCCAAGTAGCACCATTATGACCACCATTCAAACACAGCAAGAGCCTATAATTCCTAAAAGTTATCTTTAATATTATTATAAGTCTCTGTAACTGTATGCACAGTATGAACATCATCTTTGAACTTACTCCTGTAAATCTAGGGAAATATTAAAAATGAAATTAAATAGAAGTGTAAATGTTTCAAGAATAAATTGGTAATATAGATTAAATGCTGATTTGTTGTGCTTAAAGTTGAAACACAATTAAACTAGATTTTACTTTAGAAAGTTGAAGCCACTGTAACATTATGCACAGTACAAGCATTACCTTTGAAAAAAACCAAAAAAACAAACAAACAAAAAAACTTAATGATTCAATTAAGAATTATTGAACATAAAAGTTATACAGAAAAATAAATGAATGACAATAAACACATTAAAAACATGAAATGCAGATTTTATTTTACTTGAAAATGAAATACTGTACATTGAACTGGAAAAAAACCCACACAAACAAACACATATAACACAGAAATGTTTAAGCCATTTTAAAATTATGCACAGTATAAACATGCTTAAATATAGAATTTCTTTTATTTAAACTACTTAAATAATAATTAAATGTAAAAGTATTCGACCGATCAGTTAAATAGAAATTTAACTCCTTGAAAATGAACATATCACATAAATTGAATGGAATATATTGTTCCTAAAAATTTAATTCAACTGAACTGAATTGAAATGTATATAGAAATGTAGTATATTGAAAAAAAGGACCATTTTCTACCGCATGAACATGAACACCAATTAAATGAAGGAAAATTTTAAAAAAACAACACAATGATTAAAATAAAACAACTGTACTACACATAAAAAGTTACAAATACTGTATATCAATTATACCAATACAAAATTTTGAAAACAAACAGTTAAAAGGCCTAAATGCAGCTCTCCCGTACTAGTTAAATGCAACAGAACTTTGCCTAGCAAATGGACTATGTTGGATTTTTTTAAGATGCTGTAAAATTAGGCATGGTTTGAACATTCACGCTGTGTTTAATAGTAGAAATAAACTATGGCACTTAAATTATGATGAAAACAACATTATTGCACATTAAGTTCCATATTTTTAGCCGACGGCAAAGTTTGAAAGCAAAAAAAAAAATCATCAATCAAAAATATGAATATTTCAAAATGTGTTGTACTTAAACATTTAACAAATGTATTGCAGTAGATTTTTTTAAAAAGTTGGAGCAAATAACATGATGCACATTTTGAATACTTAATTTTTTTTTGTGAACGGAGTACAGTACTTTGTTCTTCGACGTGAATCGTTTGTCTACTTGGGGCTTGGAATTAGCTGGTGACCAGTCCAGGGAATACTCAGCCTCATGCTTCAAATCAGCTGGGATAGGCTCCAACTCACCCCGAAGAAGGGAAACGCTGTCGAAAATGGATGGATGCAACATGATGTAACAAAAGACTCAAGAGGCTCAGGAGCAGCAATTATGATGGCAGACTCCCCCGAGTGGACAACTGGGGGACTGCAGACACGTTGTTCCTCTTGAGGCATCTGAAGGGAGATACGACTTCTATTTGGTCACAGAATTACCAAAAGAGGCGGCCCGGTGGTCTGGTGGTTCCTGTGTCGACCTCACAGTGCAGAGGTACCGGGTTCAATTCCAGCTCTGGCCTCCCAGTGTGAAGTTTGCATGTTCTCCCCGGGCCTGCTGGGTTTTCCCTGGGTACTCTGATTAACTCCCACATTCCAAAAAACATGCATGGCAGGCTGATTGAACACTCTAAATTGTCCCGAGGTGTGAGTGTGAGCGTGGATGGTTGTTCGTCTCTGTGTGCCCTGCGATTGGCTGGCAACCGGTTCAGGGTGTCCCCCCCCTACTGCCCGAAGACAGCTGGGATAGGCTCCAGCACCCCCCACGACCCTTGTGAGGATAAAGCGGATCGGAAAATGAATGAATGAATGAAATACTAAAAGAACGTCATGTCATTGTTAAAAACAACAACAAAAGACAAACACACAAGAAAACATACACCTCTGTACCAAACAATAGTCTCCTTTATTCTTCGACGATACAAAAGAGAATAAATATCACGTTAAAAAGATGACAAAAAAAAAAGAAAAAGACCATGGCTGTATTGATCGATACGTGAATCACTCAAACGAGTTCCCCACAGTGTCAATTTGAGTTCACTTGAAAAGGAATATCATTAAGATAATCTTACAATGTTTTTTACAATGTTTTATATTCACAAATGTAAATTTTCAAACACAAAGCCCATTTTTGTGTGTTGTTGAGAGAGTTGTATCTATATTTGTATCTGGTTTTATAAATAAAGGAGCTATTTAAACTTTGACATTATGTTCCCATATTAATATTTCCAATGTTCCTTGGTTTTTATTTTGGCATCTTTTATGTATTTATTAATTATTGTATGTATTCTTTCCTTCTTCGTTTTCGTTAAATGTGCTGTCTGATTTGTATTGGTTTTCTCTCATGTGCTGCTTCTGTAAGTAATGTACAAGAATCCGAGAATTCAGCTTTCAGACATGTATATTTACTGTAGTCTTGACTGATTGATTTCTTTCTTTTTTTTTTTTTTATTAGAAAATGACCGTCCAACCTCTCTGGTCCCTGACCAGATTGACTACAATATGCCCCTGACTGCCACCTACCTGAAGCAAATGAAACTGCAGTGCATGACTGCCACTGAGAGGGTAAGTCTCCACATTTTTTCAAAGCATGTCAAAAATATGCATGGGAGATTTCCAAACGGTAAGTTAAAAATGAAAAGGTGGAAGCAAAGCTGATAAAGTTAGGCCCTTCCATGGTACATAAGAAACGGTTTTATTTGTTGACAACCCAATATTTGATAAATTCTGGTCAGGAGGATGCAGATTTTGCTAATTCAATTCCATGTATATGGATGGATGGATTTCAATCATGTATGTATGGCATACATACATGATTTAAATCAAACCAAGTTAAAAACACAGATTTTCATTATTTGCATGAGAATCATGGGAGCTAATTTCCCAGTTTTGTTCCTTTTTATTCAAATGGGATGTAACTTTAGTGTTTTTCTGACATGCGTTTGTTGGCATTGGTTGTTCTGCCTCGTGGAACAATTGCATCTTTTCACTTAAAATGTCACTTAATATTCTCTGGCATTTCATTATAAAAATGTTTAAAAAATTATATTTTTTCTTCCCCAAATTTCGTAACGGCAATTTAGATATGGAAGGAATACAGTAAACATACTCTACAGTGTGAATCTGACTTAAATCCTATACCCAGCAGCTCTCATTGTCCACTCTTTTCTTACATGGGCTATTCTTTTAAAAGTGGAGGAAATTTTGTGTCACCCCATGAAATTTCAAACAATCCATGTCCAAAATCCAGGAGCATGCACTTGTTGTGTAAATTTTAATCATGCAGAGACAGAGTATAACTGTCGCTTTAGTAAAAGTGATTCCTAACAGAAAATAGCTCTTGAGAACCTCTTGAGAACAAGGTTACATACCAAATATAAGAAATGGGTTTTAAATTATCCTTTTTTTTTAAATATGGTTTTATTTTTGTGATAATGTGAAAACATTCCCTTCATCACAGACACATTTGAAATCTTGCTCGTGATGCTCAAGTTGTCTCTCAAACCACGTGCAACCTGCTTACAAAAACTTTTCTCTAGCCATCTGGAGGAGGAGGAAAAAAGTGAGCTACATGACTCAGCAGAAAGGATACGATGCAAGTCCTCTCTTCTGTTTTTCATGTTTTCTGCCGTAATGTAGCACCACTCAGATTCAGATTATTCTTTGTTAAATCTTCATTATATTACGTATTAAAAAAGAGCAAAAAATCGTTGCTCTAGTTCCCCCTCGACTTGCAGCATACTCAACAATGCACAATATACAACAAATGCACTAAAGCACAATTAAAACTCAGCTCTAAATTTTAAAAGCAAATGGGTGTTTGGATCTGAAAAAGGCATGAATATTTTATGTTATAATCTTTTTTTTTTTTTTTTTTTTTAATAACCAAAATTGATTCTTGACCAATTAGCACAACAGCTAACACAGCTAGCATGTACGCTTGAGCAACAATTCTTAAAATTAGCACTGATTTGCAATCGTTTAGCTGCAATTGGAGTACTGTAGTATCAAAATTAAATGAGTATTCAAATATAATTTAACTTTCTTAATTAAACTGTAATGCAATATTTTGAAATATATGTTTTTTCAGGTGTTCAAGTTTCCTTAATCTATGTCATGTAATTGAATAAAATAGTAAAAAAGTTGCATTATGTTGATTACATTCTGTCCAGATCTTAACACTTTATATCAGATCTAAATGCTTTGCTTGTTGGATTAGCACATCTGCCTCACTGTGCAGAGGTGCAGGGTTCGATTCCGGCCCCGGCCGTTCTGTGTGGAGTCTCCCCGTGCCTGCGTGGGTTTTTTCTCCGGGTACTCCAGTTTCCTCCCACCTTCCAAAAACATGCTTGGCGGGTTAATGGAACACTCTAAATTGTCCCGTTGTGTGATGTGAGCACGAACGGTTGTTCGTCTATGTGTGCCCTGCAATTGGATGGCACCCAATTCAGGGTGTACCCCTCTTACTGCCCGAAGACAGCTGGGATAGGCTCCAGCACGCCCCGCGACCTTCGTGAAGATAAGCAGATAAAATGTATGGATGGATGATAGTTGTGTACTTGACTTTATGTACGTGTCTCTTTTGTGCAGTTGTTATTTGAGTTATTAGAGTTCATTTCTGATAATATGAAATGACAGATAAAATATATCAAAGTGTTGATGGTTGAAGCAATTGATAAAACGAATTATCACCTGTTCTTTTTTATGGAAGCATAACAAAATAACTAAAAACAACTGGCCCGTTTCCCAGAAACTGGTGCCAAAATTCCCCCACCGTGAACCGGGATTAAGTTTGTGGGCGTGACGTAACGTGCGAGACCCCTCCCACGTGAGGGAGGCTGTGACAGAAAGACGCCTCCATCCGTCCTTCCCACCCCTCCTCGTCCTCCCAATACGCCTGCCTTTCTATCAGCAAAGTGCAGGGAGCGGCACTCGCGAACGATGTGCGTTTTGGGGGAATCGGGAGCCAGGCTGGGACTCGCCGGTGAGTACCAAAAAATAAACCAAACAAACAAAAAAAAAAACCACACTAAAGAACGGTGAAACGCGCGTTGTGCTCAGTGCTGGTCGCGGCGTGTTCAATAATAATTCAGCATCTTCATCACCAGCAGCAGCGAAGGAGACTACAAGGCCGTCACTTGGGGGCTTCGCGAAAGCTTCAAGTGTGCTTAGTTCACATTACTTGACAGCAACAACATAGTGGTGGAGCTGCACTTTGCTTTGAAAGGAGCACCACGCTTGATCCTCCACAATAGGAGCAAGCGACTGCCCTCTGTGACACGGAATCAGCAGCTCCTCTTGCTAATCACAACAAACTACAGCTCCGCGCGCGTGTGTGTGTGTGCGTGTGTGTGCGTGTGTGTGTGCGCGTGTGTGCGTGCGTGTCTTTGTGTTTGTGTTTGTGTGTGTGTGTGTGTGTGTGTGTGTGTGTGTGTGTGTGTGTGTGTGTGTGTGTGCGTGCGCGTGCGAGTGTGTTTGAGAGAAAAAGATTTCTCTGTGTGGCAACTTCATTCAAGCAAGCCAGTATTGGAAATATCACAAAGACGGATTCCCTCCTTATCTTGCTTAAATCGATTATTATTCATGCTGACTTTTTACTTTTACTCCCTACATTCGAAAACTGTTACGTGTACTTTGATTCATAATATGTCATGTGCACAGTAAAAACCACAGCTGTAGCACTGGGCAATTTACTATCCTTTGCTTGTCTCCATCCACTGAGACACGCAACGTAAGAGATGAAAAAAAGCTGTTTTCAATCATGAAAGTTAAATACAGAAAAAGGGCGGTGCTATATGCAGTTTTTCATAGGAAGAATTTATTTTTGAATTTGTCAAATTTAAAAAAAGGACCGTGTATTCGTGTAATAATTGTCAAGCTCGTGCAGGGGTGTCAAACTGATTTTCATCGCTGACCACATTGTAGTTCCGGTTTTCGTCACAGGTTCACTATGACTGTAAAATCGCAGGCATGTTTGTTTGTCTCCTCATATTATTACATGTACACGGCAAATTGATGGATAACTAGTTTTAAAATCAGAAGTCAAGGATGATAGTTTGTTAAACAGCAACTTTTGAAACATTGCAAGTTGGAGGCACTGCACAGTGTAAACATTCAAATGAGCAGGATTACAAAAAAAAATATTGCAGTGTGGTTCACAGATTCTGAAGCCATTTTCATTTTTTTTTAATTGAAAATATGTACAGTACAAGTAACAAAGGCAGTGTTTCCAATTCGTTCAGGAATAACATTAACAGCAATATCAAGATAGTACGATAAGCAAAAAAAGAAAAGGTGAAAAAAATACAACAAAGGGCGGAAAAAGCTCCAAATGAAAATCAGCATTTGAAAACCTATATGAATAATTATTCATCAAAGCTTCGCCTACTTTATTTGTGATTCATTTATGACTTGACGATGATGCTGCAGTTGCTGTTTTGGTCTGTCAGAAAATCATCAAAAATGTTGGTTGTTTTCCCAAAGTCAAAGCAGAGGCTTGCAATTGTCTTATTTTTATAATCAGCCTGCTTTCTTGGAGGACGACTCGAATCGAAGAAGATTTCCTGTAGAGAGGCTGAAATCGAAGGATTTGGACTATTTAAGTGAAACAAGCTCGCTGAACGACTGTTTGATGATCAAAATAGTTGTCGATCAATCGATTAATTGTTGCTCTACTTGTAAGTACGAGCACTGTGCAAAAAAGGGGAACTGTTTTGTGTGCAGAGAAGTTTTTGCTCTATTGTGCCAAGTTATCACACTGGGTTTTGTGTGCAATTGACTGCAAAAAATCAGTTTTACTTTTGTGCTTATAGTGCATTTCAGAGAAGAGCTAATTTATTTATTTATTATTCATGGAATTGAGTTGAATCAGTTCAGCTCCTGCTACTTTTGACCATTTTTTAAAAAATGCAAGTATCTGCATTAGGTTCTGACTGTGAGTCATTTTCAACTAAAGTACACGTGAGAAAAGAGTGGGAGGCATAGAAATATTGACACGTGCGGGAAAGTCACATTTCTGTTTTACGTCACAATCAGAGATGTCCAGTGACATTCGCCGTCATTCGCAGGGGCCAAGTTCAATGGTGTGAAGGAGGTCAAAGGTCAGCACGGGCTGAGAATAGTTGGCAAGATTATGTTGGGTGCTCCTCTGCTAATCCTCTGCACTCGACTTTATCCGTGTTGGTGTTAGCCTACAAGCATTTTGCCAGTCTATGCCGAGCAATTCCAAATGAAAGCAATCAATAAATCAAGAGCTAATTCCTTATCAAATTAATTGACAACTATTTTGATGATAATAATGGTGGAAGCAAAGCTTAAAATTGTCCAAAACTGTCCAAAACCTCAGAAATTTAGCCTCTCATCTATAGGGTAGGCCATTGTTTGAATTTAGACGACTTCGATTCTGATTCAGGTTTCTTGTTTCGATTCAGGTTCTTAATGATTCTCAACTATTATATACAGTCAAACCTCGGTTTTCAAACGTCTCTGTTATCGACCAAATTGGATTTCGACCAGAAAATTCGAGATATTTACGCCTCGGATTACGACTGAAACCCGGTTTTCGA